GTTTTAATGAGGAGCTAGCTACATTTTCAACAACAAAAACTGGTGTGTTACCAACACCAAGTGCTTAATAAACATGATTTGATTTAAAGATAACTGGACAGAATTTTTCCCCTTGTTAATCTAACATTTCTCTTTCATATATTTTATTTGTTGTTGGCATTCAGAGCCCTGTGATGGACTGGTGACCTGTCCAGGGTGAACCCTGCCTCTCATCTGATGACTGCCGGAGATGGGCACCACCAGCCCCCCTCACCACCCTGCAAGGATCAGTGTGTTCAGATCATGGATGGAAAGCTTTTAAGGTAGTTTGTCTCCTTAAGTCCACACTTAAAACAGCTTCATAGTTATTGCCAACATCAACTGATTCTATGACATTGCTGACTATTTTTTTCTACTTCTAACATAAACAGGCAAAAAAACCCAGAAATGTTTTTCCACCCCAGGCATTCGGTCCCAATCATCATCAGTTCTGATGATGTCACATACATGGCGAGTCCACAACGTCTTGAAATTGTAAGTATTTTTTTATTTGCCATTTTTCTGTACTCTTTAAAATACAAATGCTTTCTCTGTTTAATTGCTCTATTGTTCTTTTTTGTAGGTTTCTGTTCTGTCGTTGATCTTCACTCGGAGGCCTGTCCAAACTGAGAGGTCGGTCCCGACTCGGAGGNATTACTGATATATTAGTAGTATAATTAATTAAAATATATTAAAAGTATATTTTTAATATTATTCTATGACAGAATTAGTACACTCAAAATATCCTAATCAAGCTCTTGAATAACACATAAAAAGTATACTTAAAGTATACTAAGTACTACTTGAAGTTGTTCCAAAAAAGTACATTGAAGTATACTAAAAATTGTAAATTAATACTATTTAAATACTATTAAAATATACTAAGCACAAAAAAGTTGTTCCAACATAGTATAGTTTAAGTACATCAATCAAAGTATGCTAAAGCATATTAAAATTTAGTATACTAAAGCATATTTTTTTCATTTTTTTTTTTTTACTTGGGAACACTGGAACTGATAAACTAAATCAGTTCCAGTGTTAATGGATTCTCAGTCTCCATTAACAAAAAACGTACTTTAATAAAAACTAAACAACATAAAGCCAAAGTGGAAATAAATTCAACCAAAAGAATGCAGATCATGAAGTCTGTATACTATATTGCCCTTCAGTAATCACTAGATTTAAATAGAGAAGATGAGCACATCCGACCAGCTAATGCACAGTTCACACTACACGATTTTTTTTGCCCCCATTTTCCCCTTACGACAATCTTAGAACGTTGGCCTATCTAAGATTGTCGCTGGTGATTTCGTAACCGATCATCATATAGTGTGACCAGTGGCGCAATTGCACATTATTCAGGTGGATGCGAAAACATAAATCGCCCCCCCCCACCCCCACCCCCAAGGCGAGGATACGTTAAGGGTGAAACGCGCTAGATTTAGCTCATTATGTGCGTGAGGTGAAGGAGCGTAAGGCGCGCTGAAGTGTATGAGGTCGATAGGTTTAATTTATCGTGTGATTAATTGATTTATCGTTTCACAACAGGCAGTGGCGCAACTACACATTATTCAGGTGGATGCGAAAACATACCCCCCCACCCCCCCCTCCCCCGCCCCCCATACGTGCAGGGGCAAGGTTTCCCGATTGACCTCTTGGNACATAATTGTACCAATATACACTTTTAATATATTAAATAAAAGTATACTTTGAGTGAACAAAATATATATTTGCCCAAGTGTAAATATACACTTGCTCAAGTATATTTAAAATATATTTAAAATATATTTTGTGTACATTTTAAAATATATGCTCAAAATAGATTATTTTTTTTAAATTCACTTCTTTAAATTAATTTCACTATGTTTTTGTGAAATTAAACAGAGAAATTAAGACATTACAACTCAGTGTAAATTTTAGGCTAATAAAGTATGCTTTTTTTAACTTCTTTATTCAACCAGGTGAACCCCGTTGAGATCCAGATCTCATTTTCAAGAAGGTCCTGGGTAGAAGTCTGCAACACGCAGCAACCTGATTACAAAATAAAACTAATTGATACATATGCAGAAGTATGTCTTTTAGGCACCTATAAAGTACTTTTCATGTAATTTTTAGGCATATGTTTTAAGCACCTAAAAAGTATGTCTTTTTAGGTGCCTTAATAATCTTTTACTATTTTTGTTAAATTTGCAAAGAATAAAAAAATGATAATCGTGATGTAGTGTTTAAGAAAGTACCTAATCCATTTTCAAATATGACGTAAGATCTATAATCAACGGCATTAGTTCCAGTTCACACTCTAGACCATATGGTGGCGGTATGGCACACTTTCATTTAAAAAAAAAAAACGGCATAAAGAGAAGAAAAAACTTGAGCGCAAAGAACAGAGCGCTGTTCAAATTCGCCATTTTTACTCGTATAATATTGCCTTAAAAGTAGAGAGGGCCATGACAATAATTGCCAATTTTGGTAAATTCAAGCTGGTGTCGTCCGAGTTAAATGACAACACAACCGATGGAAATGAAATGTGTGTCACAAAAGGAGCCCAAAGGGACGAAGGCTGCTAACGTGTTGCTAGCTAGTGGTACGTTTGCTTATTAATTATCTTCGTTTAATTATAAACAGTGCAGTAAAGATATATAACTGACGTTGGTTTCATAAATAATTATTTTATCAATTTTATTGTGACTTGTATGATTATTACTATAGCAATCATTCAGCTTCATGTTACAACAGCATGGAGGCTCTGTTTGTTGCGACTTATACTTTTATTCATAAACTTAACCTGGTTTTAATTAAGCTTCATAAGACAAAGAGACGTTGATATTGTGAGGTTGTTGTTATAACTTCTTGATCAATGTTTTTATCTTCAACATATGTTTGCAGTGTAAGCAAATGAAGATGAAAGAGGAAGCCAGAGAGATCAGGTGCTAGGAAACCTAGACTTTCCTGTCTCAGAAGAAGCTCTGGCTCCACCAGATCACCAACCAGCTCTGAGGATGAACCTCGACATAGTCTTCATGGTGTAAGTATTTTTTGTTTTGTTTTGTTTTAATGAGGAGCTAGCTACATTTTCAACAACAAAAACGGGTGTGTTACCAACACCAAATGCTTAATAAACATGATTTGATTTAAAGATAACTGGACAGAATTTTTCCCCTTGTTAATCTAACATTTCTCTTTCATATATTTTATTTGTTGTTGGCATTCAGAGCCCTGTGATGGACTGGTGACCTGTCCAGGGTGAATCCTGCCTCTCATCTGATGACTCCTGGAGATGGGCACCACCAGGTCCCCTCATTACCCTGCAAGGATCAGCATGTTCAGATCATGGATGGAAAGCTTTTAAGGTAGTTTGTCTCCTTAAGTCCACACTTAAAACAGCTTCATAGTTAATGCCAACATCAACTGATTCTATGACATTGCTGACTTTTTTTTTTTACTTCTAACATAAACAGGCAAAGAAGACACCCAGAAATGTTTTTCCACCCCAGGCATCCGGTCCCAGTCATCATCAGTTCTGGTGATGTCACATACATGGTGAGTTCACAACGTCTTAAAATTGTATAATTTTTTTTATTTGCCATTTTTCTGTGCTCTTTAAAATACAAATGCTTTCTCTGTTTAATTACTCTATTGTTCTTTTTTGTAGGTTTCTGTAAGGTGCAGGGTGCAGTGAATGGGAATACCAACGGTGTCATGAATTGTCATTCAGTAAATGATGACAATTTTAATGAGAATTTGCTTTAAAAGTTGGATGACAGGTGTTATGTTTATGACAGTGTCATGTCAGTCTTATGCACACCCCATCAAATAAAGTGTTACCAAAATGGTAATATATTGAAAGCACAATGCAATTATAATTTTTGTTCTTTAAAGTAATAACTTTCATGTTTTTTTGTCACACTTAAATTTTCATGTTCATTGTGTTCACCTTTGATGTGTAAACTGATAATTTATGTAAAGTTCATAAAGTTGTGAGTAAAACTGGACAATTTTAAAATGTCATTAATAAAACAAAATATTTGAATTACCTTGAACATCTTGTGTAATTAATCTTTCCATGTAATTGTAGCCTAAAACAATGCAAGTACTGTAGTGTAGTTATGCATGTAATTTACAAAGTACTTATGAGTAATTAAAATTGTACTTTATTAGCAATAGCAGTAAATCAAAAATAAAAATTAAGTGTAATTTATATACATTACTTATATATTAGTAGTATATTTAAATTATATTAAAAGTACATTTTAATATAATTCTATGACAGAATTAGTACACTCAAAATATGGAATATTTTGGAATATTTCTCTTGAATACTACATAAAAAAAGTATACTTAAAGTATACTAAGTACTACTTGAAGTTGTTCCAAAAAAGTA